GAGGTTGTTTCTAAGGACACACGGTTAAATGCATCTGACACAGTAATTGTTATTATTGTTGGCAGCTCCCTCAGCAAAAGAAAAATAAATATTGATAACTATTGTGTTATTCTGCATAAAGGTTGTTTGTTGATATTGATGTCAGCTGTAATGACAGGAAGCATTAATTTGTGTGTCGAATTAATTCATACGAACTCTGGAGAATGCACAAGCCCAGATGTTAGTGTCGACATTGTTTGAATTGACATGGAAGTTAACGAGGTAGCTCTTGTGTAATTGTAGAATAGATATCGAAGAGGGACGTTCCAAGAGTTTTTTATCAAGAGGTTTCAGATTGCAAAAAATCTATCCGCATGTAGTGAGATTATTTTTTCTTTCTCTTTTGCTTTAGAATAAACTGAAATTGGAACCTGCTAAACGATGTAATCGTAATGAATATATATCATCTGCAATATTATTAAACGTGTGCAATTGTACCCCACTTATAGCAATGATTATACGCAAAATTAGGAACAATATCATTATCAAATATTAATTAATAACAAGTAAAGTGCTTTTAAATAAAATGACCATATACATTTTCACATGTTGATACTTTTTTTCCCGGGAATAGAAGACAAGACAAAATGGAAAGAGGAGAGGAGATATAGAGAAGGGCAAGGGGGAGAGAAGAAAAAGGCGGAAAAGAGATAAATAGAGAGAAAAAGAAAGGAAAGAGAAAGAGGAGACCGACAAAAAGAGACTAAAATGAGAGAACGAGAAAGAGACAGAAAACGAAATCAAGAGAAACCCATAGAAAAAAAAAAGAAAGACAGAGATAGAATATCCTTAGCAACCCTCCCTAGCCACCTCACCCCCCCACCCCCAAACCCCCTCCCTCCCAACCGCAGAATCGGCCACTTGTGTCCTTCTTGTACTGAAGTTTTTCGCTGGCTCAGAAACACCATCTAATTTTATTTCCTTCCCTGCCTTCTCCTGTTTCGTTAATATTCCCCACCTCCAATATTCTTCTCATATTCTTGCATTTACGTTAGTGTTATGGAAACTATAAAAAAAGAAGAGCGTAAATCACAACAGGAAAAACTGTAATCGATATTATTTTTTAAAAAAGTAAAGTTGGTAATAATGATAACACTAATCAGTTACTATGACGAGATAGAATGGTGTTGTTTATGGTACAGTATTGGTTATATAATGAAATTGTTCACAACTATCAAATGAATGTGAAATAAATGATGGTAATAATGGCAGTGAAATTAGGAATAGTGATTATAGAAATAATATAAATACTGATAATAATAATGAAAGCAATAACAATGATGAAAAAAAAACTAATAGCATGCATCTTAATGAAAAATAATAATGATAATAATAATAATTACTCTAATTCCAAGAAGAACAATGACAAAAACGATAAAAAAAATAATACACTAGTGATAATAACGACTGAAATATCACACACGCGCGCTCCCAAATGGCGACATCTCTCAATAGAAACGTTTCCTTCATTTTCACAGCGCCAGAATCCCAAACGTTTAATTTCATTCATTCAGCCCCACCTTTGGATTCCCCTAACCCTATATAAATCGATTTAACCCTTCAGTCTCTTCAAATACCGTTTATATGCACTGGTTATTTGGGAAGCAGAATGGGCCATTTTGTGTGCGATTAAATCTTTTTTTGGTTCAGTATGATTATGATTTTGATATGTACAGTGCTTCTAGGTTGTTTGTGGTTTTATTTGTGAATTGAGGAATTGAGTTTTCAGGGGTTCCTTTATGTTGTCTTATGGTTCCTATGTTTAGTTGTTTGTTATACTTATTATTCCTTGTTTTGTATAGATTGGACTCTGTGTTAGTTTTTTCTGCCTCCTTGAGTGTTTGGTTTGATTTTGATTTTGACATGTGTTTACTTTAGAGTGTTTGAGCTTTTATGTTTAAATCAAGAACGAAATGTTGTATTTGCTCCCCGTTTTCATTATCATTATATGTTTATATTTACTATCAGGAATTCAGCTCGTATTTTTTCTCTCTTCTTTAGCTATTCATTTACAAATATTTTTACGTTACGCACGCACACAAGCACACACACATTTATATATATATACACACATATACATACATATAGGTATACTTACACACACACACACACACACACAAACAAACACACACACAAACACACACACACACACACACACACACACACACACACACACACACACACACACACACACACATATACATACATATATATATATATATATATATATATATATATATATATATATATATATATATATACAAAGAGGTATCTCCATATCTCCCTCTCTCCCAAGGTGATGGACGAGCGCTGGGAGGAGAACGTGAAGGAATTCGGCGCCGTCAACATCACAGGCTTCAGAATCGTCGACACGTCTCGGCCCTTCGTCAAGGACTTCATCAGGACGTGGGCCACTCTCGATCCCAAGGTGTTCCCCGGCGCCGGCAACAATTATGTCTCGGTGAGTGTTATGACCTAGTTATTTTTATTTATTTATATTCCTCTAAATAAAGGAAGGATAAAGGTAAGTAAATATAACTGTTGTGAAGAGCAAAAAGATATTATATCTTGTAAAGGTTACATTTGAGAATACAGAGAAACCGATACATACACTTTTGAATACTTGTTCCTTAAAAAATAAAGAGAAAACGAAAGCATTCGGAATGCAACGTGTTCACAAAGGAAATAATAAACAAATAAATAAATATATATATCGATAAAAAAAACACTAAAATGAAAACGTAAACATTCCCTACACCAGCTACAGAAAGGAGGCTCCAACAGATTAAAAGAACATAAGATGCTTAGCACGTTTAAACTTCCCGCGGCGAACAACTTGGGTAAGAAGAACCTTGAGACAGCTCCGAGGTGTTCTAGAGTACTTTAAGACTTACACGAGCGAGCGGCGGTTGAAGAGAAACCAGAAGAAGATTTCCACGCCGTTCTAAGAAGCCGGTAATGCTCGTAATAGCGGGAAAAGGAGAAGGGAGAAGGGGAGGGGAAGGGGAGCTCCATATTTGACAGGGTTCTCCCATCTCCTTTTCGAAAAGTAGCTATTGAGCCTCAGGCAAATTAGAGATGGAATCAAAAAGGGGAAGGGGGGGGGTGAGGCCAGAAGGAATTTTAGATTAAATCTCTTGTTCAAGATAGAGTTTAACTTCCCAGTGTGCTTTGCATCAGGGAATTAAGGCTTACAGAAAGGGGAATTGAATACAAATTTAAAAATTCGATATGATTCGTTGTTTTTAAGTGTAATCTAACATATATTTTCTTGGCACCCTTCATGAACGAGCAACGGAGACCACGGAAACCTTAAAAAATGGACACTTCTGTATCTTGCTCATTTACTAAAAAGGATTTGCAAGTTATATCGTATAGTTAGAGGAAGCATATACAGTTATGAGCTAAAATGCAAGCAGGAAAATGTGGCTAATACACTCCACTTAAAAAAAAAATCTAATTAATGGATATTGCAAAGAAACATATCTCTCAAGAAATCAATAACATTAATAACAGTACTAACATACACCAATGTTTTAATTTCATAGTCATAGAAAAACAACATCACGAAAGAAAGGGAAATATCTAGCTCGTAGTTGTCTAACTGTCACAAAAGCTAAACAGCCGTCAAGCAGTACGAACAGGCTAGTAAACAGGTGGATGGCCTATGGACGGCTGGCTGAGTGTGGGTTTACATGGGTATTTGGCGATGTAATCACCTCGTTTGGGCGGGGCTCACACTAACTGGCGGGCTGAGTGTTGGTTAGCGCCGCCCATTTCGGTATTATGGCCAGAACGGAACAACGCCATCTTTATGCTGATGACGTCATAAAGGTGAACAGTTCCCTAAGTGAGAACGTCCTTGGAATAGAGACAGGCTAAAGGCCCTTCGCGCGCTCCTGCTGCTCTCGCGGTTGCTTCTTGCGTCTGTTTCGCTCGTTTTGTTTGTTCGTACTTTTTCATTCGCTTATTCTTACGTTCTGGTTCGCTCGTTTATGCGTTTTCGTCCGCTTGTTCTTACGCTCTCGTTCAGTCGTTTATGCGTTCGTTTGTGCGGTTTTTTTTTTTTTTTTTTTTTTTTTTCCGCTCCCCCTTTTCCTTGCATTATGTCTTGTGTTTGTTGTTGTTTATTATTGTTGTTGTTTGTCAATCGACTTTTGTTTTTATTTGCTTGGGTTATATACGTTTTTTTGGTTCTCTTATTTACTCCCGTTGCTGAGAACTTCGTATAGAATTACAGAGGCGTTAACATATCAAGTTCTAGAGAAATTGGTTAATTGGTATTGGTTAAGATCAGTAAGTAAAAATCTCGTCAATATGTCATAGGCTATTTTTTTTTATGTAAGTCGTTAAAAAGGTCATCCCAATACCCAATAAATTATTTACATACAACTTCCTTAATGCTGCTCCCTCCAGGTTGAGGCTTTGGTGAAATTAGGCGTATCATCATTACTTTCACATTGCAACCTTTTAAACATGTAATAAATCTTCATAAATCAGTCCAGTTTATTTTTTCGACTGTTGCGGCCTCATATTTTGATGTAAATGGCCCGTAAATCTTGAATACTAAACACTAGATATTATATATATCGTTTCAGAATTATGATAATGTTCAGTAGCAGATGTAAGTAAAACACTTGAGAATGAGAGTGTGTGCACTATCATAAATTGTGTATACATACATACATACACACACACACACATATATATATATATATATATATATATATATATATATATATATATATATATATATATGTATGTATATACATATATATATATATATATATATATATATATATATATATATATATATATATATATATATATATATATATATATATATATGTATATATATATATATATATATATATATATATATATATATATATATATATATATGTATGTATATATATATATATATATATATATATATATATATATATATATATATATATATATGATATGTGTATATTCATATGTATATATATATATATTGTGTGTGTGTGCGCACGCGCGTGTGTATACATGTCTGTGTGAGTTTTTGTGCATTCACTTTTGTATCCGTACGATAAATAAATACTATTTCTTTATACATAAAATGAAACAGATGAAAATAAACACGAAAGAATTTAAATAAAAACAACTTGATAAACGAATGAAAAACTATATACGCACATACAAATTCGGATACGTACAAAGAAGAAGAGTAAGAATAAATAAATAAACAAATAAAAAAATAAAGAAAAGAAAGATAAAAAAGAGGCAATTTAGTTGGTAACTTTAATCCTTTCAGTAAATACCAGTACACCAATGCGAAATAGCACCTCCCCCCCCCCTCCCAATCACAAAAAACGTATTTTACAGCCCAACAATATTTACCCGTTTTAGTAAATGCGAAAATACGGCTTTTCAAACATCCTTAGTTTTTTTTCGTTTTTTTTTCTTTCTTTTCGAGTGGACCATTAATACTATAGACTTATTTCTCCAGAAATACACAAACTGCTGGCTAACAGAATCTTTTTGTTTCCTGTGTACAGCATGATGCTTCAAATAATGCTAATGCCTAAAACAGTAGCCATGAATCAGAGGATAAATCAGATGATAAATTAAAAGAATAATGATGATAATGATAACAATAAAACAAAGGTGATGCTAAAAAATGATGATGAAGATGATGATAATACTTTTAACAACGATGATCTAACTAATAAGAACATTAACAATACCAACTATGACAGTAATAGTAATAATAATGAAAATAACATTAATGATTAAAATGATATCAATAATGATAATAGTAATAATGATGGAAGTAATGATAATGAAAATAATTATAATGATAATGATAATAATGATAATTATTATTATAATAGTAGTAATCACTATAATGATAATTATAATGATAATGACAATTTTTTTTGATGATAGCAGAAATAGTTATAATAATAATAATAATAGTGATCGTGGTAATCATATCAATGTTATGGGTGATAAAAAGAAAGGCAGTCGTATTAATGATGCCAATAACAGCAAAAATAACAATTATGATGAAATTCACAATCCTTACTAATAACAATAATAACAATAACAATAAAACCAACTATATCGATTACACGAATAGGGTATCAGATAACGTGTAAAAATAGACATAGTGTTTAAATCTTTACAATGATTGCATAGCAATTAACACATTTTTGTACACTGTATGTTTTACTTGAATGTAGAGGCCTATTGTTTCAGTTCATTTTAAATTCGAGCGTAAACAGGTCGACATACATTATGTATGTTGTCTAGACATACAAATTTATATATATCTATCTATTTATCCATTTATACTTTCTCTCTCTCTCTCTCTCTCTCTCTCTCTCTCTCTCTCTCTCTCTCTCTCTCTCTCTCTCTCTCTCTCTCTCTCTCTCTCTCTCTCTCTCTCTCTCTCTCTTCTCTCTCTCACTCTCTCTCTCTCTCTCTCTCTCTCTCTCTCTCTCTCTCTTCTTCTCTCTCTCTCTCTCTCTCTTCTCTCTCTCTCTCTCTCTCTCTCTCTCTCTCTCTCTCTCTCTCTCTCTCTCTCTCTCTCTCTCTCTCTCTCTCTCTCTCTCTCTCTCTCTCTACACACACGCACACACACACACACACACACACACACACACACACACACACACACACACACACACACACAACACACACATATACAAACATATACACACACACTGTTACATACAGACACGTGTATATGTAACGTGTGTGTAAGTGTATATGAGCCTGCGCGCGTGTGTAAACTCGGGAAAACTAGGAAGGCATGGTCAGCTACACTGAGCGTTTTTTGTCAACATCATTAAAATATATCCTTACGCATCTCGTGCATTTCTCGACTTCTTAAGGAGCTTTGCATCATCTAAGCTGCAAAATTCCCTGATGTATTTGTAAGGAAAGACGAATCCTAAAGCCAATTAAGCATCTGTTCTCTTCATTATTTGTGCCTCCCTTCCTCATATTTTTTCTTTTTTTATTATTATATTTTTTTTCAAAATGTTCCTTTTCTTAGTCAGTCCTTAAAGCTTCCTTTCCTCTCGGTGAATCGTTAATGCCAACATAAAACGCAACGAGAAAAGTTTATGAGAAATATTTTGACTTGAGACTAATGTGTAGCTGAAAAGGTAATCCTTTCAGGCCAATTACGTAGTCATAAGCTAAAGTAAGGTGATTTTCTCCGCGGGAACTTTATTCCACGCATTCAGGCTTCATGATGCCTGAGGTTTTTCTTCTGAAGTATATGTAGGATATATGTATATACACATAAATATATATATATATATATATATATATATATATATATATATATATATATATATATATATATATATATATATATATATATATATATGTATATATGTATGCATGTATGTATATAGATTTGCTTGTATCTATATCCATCTATCTATATGTATAGATATAGATATA